GTGGGGGGGGGGGGCACGCACGCATCAACGATTGGACACGTTCGTGTCATGATCGCGGTCTCGCACGAAGCGTTTTCGCCGTCACGATATTTCGGAACTTCTGAGCGGCCCTCTCGTCTGCCTGTCTGCCTGCCTGCCTGCCTGCCTGCCTGTCCCGTTCTCCTTCCGTGCAGGAGGCGGAAAGAGGAGGCATGAGGGGGGGGGTACCTACCTGGCTGTCGGCGTTTATTCTGACCATAGCATGAGAAGATGAGCAGAAAGGGGGGACGAGTGGGGTGCGAGAACCCCACGTGGCGCTACGGGGAGGTCCGCACCTCCTGTGCATCAGATCTTCTGTTTTTTTTTTCTCTAGCGGTGGCGAGGAAGAGTGCCCCGCGGAATATTTCGCAGTTATTCTGGGGGGGGGGCGCACGCAGGTGATGATGAGTGTGATTATTAGGTCCTTCGAATTTGCTGGCCGGTGGGGTAGTTGGCCCAGCTCCGTGCACGATAGCCGCAGGAGACAACGACAGGCCAGGCATACAATAAATATATATCAGTTTTAGAAGGCGTTGCTCGGTAGCGGTGGGGGGAGGGGGACGATACGCGAAACGCTCCTCGGCCCCATGCTTGACCCACGATCCCGCCGGGTTCCCCCCTGATTTTTCTGGCGAGTATGTTCTCTGCTTCGGATGGGTCCCAGGGCAAATCGATGTAAAGGGACCGGCGGCGAGGTTGTTTTCTCTAGTACAGCGTAAACGTAAGCGTCGATTTGGGGGCGGGTCGGTCGTTTTTTACGAATGGTGCACGGCTGATTAGCCTCAGCATCGCTGCAGCCGTCGCGTTAGGATTGGAAAACGTTTTTTGTGGGCTCTGCAGAGGGAGGCTGTAGACACACAACGGAAAATCACGGGGTTGGGCGGTGGGAATAGTACCGGGATTGGCGTTGGTGGTGTTGATGGGTTGTTGGATGCCTCCGGCGTAGATTGATCTCGTACCACCCTGCACGTATCTCCACTGAACGAGTCGTTGGTTGGGCTGAAATCCGCCCGCTCCTGCATTGGGGTTCACCTCCATGCGGTGCGGTGTGATTTCAAAGATGCGACTCGAGATGCACATGCTTCGTGCGAAGGCGTGGAGATGTCGGTGGACGCAATGGGGGGAAGGGGGCCTACCTACGTACCCGCCCATAATCCTCTTGGTTTCAACTATCGTTGTGTTTTTTTATTGTAGAAGGGGTGGTCAGTGATGAATGGGACCGGGCTGAGATGGGCTTGAATCGTGCCGGTGTGGAACGTGCTGCTCCTTTTCGACGGGTCTAGAAAAGGCGGCGTTTCGCGTAGTGTTTGTTCGAACGAGCCTGGATACGTGCCGGGAGACCGCGGGAACATTGGTTGGCTGTTTGTTTCGCTTTTTTCGATCGGGTATTCCCGACAGCAGCCGTGTTTGTTTGGCCGTAGGATGGTAGGTATGGACATGTGTTGGTTTTGGGGTGTGAGCTCACGTCTGTGTTCTTCCCGGGCTTGCCCAACCTTCACGTGATCGCAGACAGACCTACCTGCTGCCATCTCCGTGTGCGGTGGCAGCGGTTTGGGGTGTAGCAAGTGGGAGCTTGGCTTTGCGAGCAGCGCAGCAGCACGCGATCGATGATCACTTCTTTGGAACGAACGCGGGTCATCTCTCTGGAATCTTTACATTTCCTTGGAGATAGATGTGGTGACGCCGCTTTGTAAAGTGAAGAGGAAGAAGAGAGGGTTCAACTGCTTCTCCTCCGGCTGCTGCTCTATTGTTTCCTCCGGGATTGGCAGCGTGACAGCGTGACTGAGGTGGTGGTTGTACGCGTCGCAACACGGTTGTTGGATTGGGGGGATTGTTGTACGAAATATACATGGCGGTTACAGCTGCCTGTCTGTGCTTGCTTGCTGTTATTGTTGCTGTTTGTTGTCTTAAAGTAAAAAAGAACTGCAGCAGTGACGACCCTCTGTCCTACTACATTGTGGTGGCACCATGTATGTCCATGTCATGTACAACATATTGTACCACGTCATAGATATATACATCCGGGCCGCACGACCTCAAGACAGGTCTTCGCCGATCGATCCACCGACGCAGTTTACTTGCGTTTTTTATCTTCTTTTTTTTCTGTTTTTTGTGTGGCGCAAGTATAGACTATACGATACGATACCCAGCATGAGAGTAACAAGACAGTACAAAGATTGCTTGGAATGCCATGGACATGCCAGGTGATCTCTGTCTATCTACTATGTGTGGCATTGAATGAGGAGTTGTAAACTATTTCTCAGCATTCATTTCAAGCAGTTACGAAAGGAAAAATTGCCAAGAATGCCAGGACTGCCGCATGTAGAATATGCACATAATCAGCAGCAGTGGATGAAAGTACCCTTGTGGTTGTTGCTTCACAATAAAAACCGTTCCGATCTCTCTCTACCCAGTAGCTTCGTATGTACGTACCGATCCAACACTCGACGCGGTCAATTCCCGTCGTCGCAAGCTAACTGACCCTAAAAAGGTACACTCAAATGAAATGGCCCCGACGAGTCCGCAAGTCAAAGAAATCAACGACAGATTACCCTTGAGCGGTTTCTTATACACCTGGATCCCTTTCCCAAAAAGCCTTGCTTTTCAGGATGAGCAAGAATCCGGCTGGAAAAAAGTCCGGCCGTTCTTACAGCGAGCCCGCTTCCCGGGGCAGCTTCTTGGAGGGTGGGTGTAGATCAACCCAGACGACATAATCGGCGCGTGCGTGGAGGCCACCCAAAAAGCTGAACCCGGATTTTGTCGATCGACCCGAAAAACAGTAGAATCTGGCTGTGTGTGTGTAAGACGCCAGGTTTCCGCCCATCCTGAAAAGTGAAGCTTTTTGGGAAAGGAATCCAAGTGTATGAGAATCAGCCATAGGTCTACTGATGGTGTCCTAACACCAGCAAGCAGCTGTTTTGGTGTGTGCTGAAAATGGATGATACGGGATTTTTCAAAAACGAACGATGTTGTGTGTGACANCGTTTTGTTTTCTTACGTGTCTTCTCTTTTGATGTTGCCTGGATGAAGGCGGTTTGATGTAACCTATCGTTGTTGTCTCGGGGTCAACACCATGTAGTGGAGTCGTTGTTTCGGACACCATGACTGATTCGGACATTTCAAACAAACGAAAATAGATATAAGACGCCAGGTTTCCGCCCATCCTGAAAAGTGAAGCTTTTTGGGAAAGGAATCCAAGTGTATGAGAATCAGCCATAGGTACTACTGATGGTGTCCTAACACCAGCAAGCAGCTGTTTTAGTGTGTGCTGAAAATGGATGATACGGGATTTTTCAAAAACGAACGATGTTGTGTGTGACATCAGAGAGGTAGTCTATCTACCTTTGCCCCATTTTCACTTCTTTTTTTGGAGATACATATGCACAGTCCATCTATTATATATATTCGTTAGTTCGCCGAACTGTACTTAGTAGTTTATTGCCGCACCNTCAGAGAGGTAGTCTATCTACCTTTGCCCCATTTTCACTTCTTTTTTTGGAGATACATATGCACAGTCCATCTATTATATATATTCGTTAGTTCGCCGAACTGTACTTAGTAGTTTATTGCCGCACCGTCTTCGCTCTCACATTTTGGCCTGTGACGACTATTATTCCTTCCCGGACTTCAGTCAGTCTCTCTGAGTCCAGCGGGCGTTACGTCACAACACAACACCATTTTACTGCTGGATGGAGCAGCAGCAGAGAGGATTCCTTCGGTGTCAATCGCGTGTCCATTTTTCTCAGTTTGTCTCAATGTTGGCTGATTTCAAAACTATCGTATGATCGTCGATATTATCGATCAATCAATCACGACAATTACCCCGCTAGCAAACCATGAACCAACGTTATTGCTCCGGACACAAACGATTTCGGTCGCGACTGCTGATGAAAAACTCCGTCTACCACACATGTGTCTCTCTTTATCTAAAACAGCCCATCACGATGTGTGTAATGCTGTTTGTATATGCGTGTGCTGCTACTCGTTGCCTTTCTCATGTTCCGGTTTCCCCAACCCTGCCAACTGCCAACATCGCCATCATCATCATCACGAACACACCTTCTTCATCGACTGGATACCAACCATGGGCCGCGCTCTTTTACTCGGCTCTCCGAACACAACTCTATACCAAAGTTACTTGTATTAATTTATTCCGGCAAGATGTGTGCCGCACACATACACCGGCTTTTTCATGGACCACAAGGAGGGGGAGATGAGACGAGAGAGTGAGTCGACACCTGACGGGGAGCTAGAAAGCGCTAGAAGTACACAAGGACAATTGCAAGGTTTCTTTCCCTTAGACTCCAGCCATATACATAGCTAGCTGCACCGTCCCTAAACCAAGCGTGGTTGTATGTTTCGTTGTGTGGGTTCCCCCCAACAATCCCCATCAACGGCGCCTGCGATACCGCGTATGCATACCATCGTAATGAAAAAACTTGGCCGACGAGACCGCGCGCCAATAGGTCGATTCTTCGATTCTTCCAAACTTCCGGAACAATAAAGCAGGGGTTTCAGCAAAAAATGTGCTGCGGGGGATCTGGGGACATTTTGATTTGACCACTCAAGAAACTGGCGGAGTGGAGGTTTGGCAGCACAAGCCATCGATTGACGGACAATAAAGAGTTGGCTGCTTGCCGGTGGTGGCGTGAGCCCGAAAGAGGCAAGGGGGTACTACTGTTGAGGACGGTTTTGGCTAACACGTTGGGGCGCACGGGAGGAGTGGAAGGTGGCGGAGCAGTCGTGGCGTCTGGTTTTCGCAGGCGCTTGAGGAAGTCGTCGTTGTTGGGGACAAATTTTTTTGTGGGGAAGCGAGACACGACGGCGGGGGCAAAACTTTTCACACCCTGTACAACTACTTTAGTTGTCAGTTGTCTGGCAGACAACTATTTCTTGAACAAGCTGCGCCACAAGCTGCCTGCAGACAACTACTGTTTGGAAAAGCTGCGCAACTAGTTGTCCGCAGACAACTATTGGGTAGTTGCTGCCCTGCACAACTAAAGTTGTAGTTGCCAGTTGCATTTGTACAGGGTGTGAAAATATCCGATCAAATTTATCACATATATTACGCATNCATTTTTTTGTGGGGAAGCGAGACACGACGGCGGGGGCAAAACTTTTGTCTCAAATTCACACATCAAATCGACGATAGTTTTTGTTTTTTGGCTCCAACGTCCACACTCAACACACGCGGGAGAGGCAGAAGAAACAGAGGCCAAAATCTCGGCGCTTCAGCTCGTTCGGAAGGGCTCTGGGTGAGTGCGGCAGCTAGGCGTTGCAGCCATGGACAACACCGGGGGTGGCGAGCCGGACACGTCGGACACGATAGACGTGCTCAAGTGTCTGCGTTGCGGCCATGAGGGGTGCACAAATGTGCCGGGCCTGGGCTACCAGGGGGAGGGGCCGACGATGTGCACGGAGCACGCGGCGCCCGCCATGATCCAGATCGTCCACCTGAGGTGCGAGCACGGAGACTGCACCGCCAGGAGGACGTTTGGCTTCGACGGCGCCTCTGCTCGCCTCTGCGCCGTGCACAAGCTCGACGGCATGGTTGACTTGATGAAGCGGAGAAGCCAGGTGCGCGCGAGAGAGGGAGATAGGTACACGTATACCCTGTTTTGTTGGACACATCAATCTAGTTTTTTGGTGTTTTGTAGTGGCGTCCTGCGGCGCGCTAAAAATAAGACTGGTCTACACATACAACATTGAAGCGGATTTTTTCGTCAGACACACACAACCCTTCCCGCTCCGAAGTCTGTGTATGCATGCCACTCAACGTGCACTTCCTGTTTCCCCCCTCTGGACAAGTCCAGGGTAGGTAGACCTAGGTACACAACACACTGCTGCTGCTGCTGCTGCTGCTGCTGCTGCTGCTGTCTCGCAATTATACCATCTGCTGATGTCTCTCGCCACCGCTGAAATTCGGTTGGGGACCACACCTGAAATCAGTCGTGAAGGCGAGACCAATAAAAAAATAAAGGCGAGAGAGAGAGAAGACGGCCGCCGCCGCGAGATGAAAGAAACACAAAGCATCGGCTTCGCCCGTTGCGCTGTAAAGAAGCCGCTTCCGCGCCCACACAGCCGCAGTACTGCTGTATCCACGAGTTGCGAGTGCTTGTTGGCGGAGGTGGAGGGGTCACCCTCGGCACATTTGTGATGTGTTGGCGAACAACAATGCCAGCAGCACCAGTAGACGCGTCATAGTGTAAGCTTGGGAGGAACAAGCGTAACAACCATCGTCGTATCGTCGGAGGTGGTGCTCTTCGTCAGGCGGTGGTATGATTTTATACCCTCCCGGGTCGTGCCGAGGCTGCCGACAGACTGCGAGTGCCCTTGCCTGCCTGCCTGCCTCCCATCCCCCCCCCTGACCGCGCTAGGTAGTCATTGCCCCGGCTAGTCAGCCGCTCCCTTTCGCTTCGCTCGAATGAATAATATAGCCGATTTTTCCAGCGTGTCCGTTGGTGCGACATTTCTTGATCACCTTTGAAAACGTACATGACTGCGTATGTAGGTGTGTGTTTGTGTGTGTGTGTGTCTTTTGGCAGGGTTCGGGAGGCTGTGTCGACGTATGCCTCTCCTGGCTTAACGCTGGTATTGGAGTGCCTGCTTCGTCATTGTAAATATGCAGGGCATTGTGTTGTTGCGGCTAAGTATACATCGGCCTCCCGCCCTCTCCTGCGCAGTGATGTTGTAGTTGGCGCTGTGACTTCCCCAATTACTGCAATCGATCGGCTTTTGAAACTTCTGAGTTGTGTGTTTTGAAATGATTTTTTTCCCCTCTTTTGTAAAGTTTCAAATATTCGGCTCAGTTTTTTCCCCACCGCTCGCCCCCCTGATGAGGCCGTATTCTTTTGCACAGCAAACGCATACAGCCTCTATGCCCTGTTGATCTATCTTATCATGATGTCCACGATGCCGCCGTCCACGTCTCAATGTTTTGTGTTTTCCAAGTGGGCATACGGAGACCAGGCGTGCAACAAACTACCGTTATGATGTCCTACGAATTGCCAGACTAAGCCCGCAGCAAATACTTCCTCCACAGATGGACCCTTTAATTTGCTGAGAATGTGCGGTAGATTTTATT